AATTGTGCTCTCTTTTGGTGTAAATCGCTGCCGAAACATTTGTACAAAACTGCCCGCCCGGTTGCCCTGCTGCATAATTTGCATAATTATCATTTTTGCCTGCAAAATGCGTCATATGACATTGTCGGTTAGTGCACATACGTGGCTGAGGATGGGTGATGCGGGTGTCAGGCTAACCGGCAGACAACTTCTCCCACGAGGTGTGATTGCATGTGTGCCGACATGTGATGCTTGTGTGTCGAGTCGACGGACGGACGTCCGAGCAATCTCGTGGCCAATTAAGCCGCCCTCACTTGCCACTTCATGCACATTCGCCTCGGGCTCGAGGTCCGCTTTGTTCAACACAACAATCACAATTGCAAAACCGTCTTTCTGCTCTTCTCGACGACTCTTGTTGGCACCATCCTCGTTTTCCTCGATCGAAAGTTCACCACAGTTTCGGCAGTTGAAGACTCTTCTACTCACCTCACCTCAACTCAACACCGCCAGGTTTGTCATCGCATCCACACAGCCGTACCCTTTAACACACCTTTGCACAACTCCACACACACACACACACACACACACACGTAGACATGCATTTATAGAATGAAATCCACTTCCAGGTGTGCGTGTGTATGCAGGTATGCATTGATGTGTGTGTACACATGTACCGGTGAAAATGTATTGCAAGCCAGGTAATTCGAGTCCGACTCCAAGAGAGTTGCTCCGTTGCCTTCTTCAATACCGTTCACCTCTGGTCTTTGAGCACTTGAAGCGAAGGTGACATGAAGCGTAAAACGAGCCTGACGCTGACCATGTGGTAAATGGCAGTCTCGTCTTTTGGCGTAAACCTGGAGTGGAGGAGAGAAGAGGGTCTGATCCAAAGAGAGAGTACTCTTTCTGCTGACTTTTGCATGGCGATTGAGGCATCAACACTTTTCAGTACAGGCTTCACTTTGTAAGCCCTCCTGACGTAGGCCTCGAGACTGGGTTCTGCTGCGGTGGTCAATTTTTGCTCGAGCAACTGACCGCTTGCCAAGAGAACCGGATTCCCGAACCTGGACTCGAGTCCCGCTGGGGGTGAAGATGAGATCTGGACAAGGTAGAAACTGCAGTCCAAGCCACTCTTGGCGATACTGTCCTTTGGGCAGCAGAGTTATGTAAAGTGAAAACAGGTACGTGACACCTAATCGTGTGATTGTGGGAAAATTCACCTGCAAGCCGCCTGTTTTCACTTTAAATTAAATGGCTTGGATACAGGTCTCGGTCAACTGCCAACTTGGCCATGACGCTTTCGACGCGACCGCCCGCCTCTCCCCATCACACAATTCACCGACTTTCCCTTTGCACACACACACACACAC